TCAAATGGCCAATAAATACAAAAAGAAATATTCAACACTGCTGGCCATTACAGAAGTGCAAATTAAAACAACACTGAGATTCCATCTCACTCCAGAAAGAATGGCCATCATCAAAAAATCAAATAAATGCTGGAAAGCCTGCCCGGGGGAGGGTAGGGGAGAAGAACTTTTCTACACTGTTGGTGGGAATGTAAAGTAGTACAACCACTGTGGAAATCAGTATGGAGATTCCTTAAAAAATTAAAACTACAGGGCTGGGGATTTAGCTCATTGGTTCCACTGCTGGTCTCACAATCACAAGGTCCTGAGTTCAGTCCCCGGTACCAAAAAAAAAAAAATTAAAACTATAAATTTCATTTAACCCAGCTGTTCTCCTTCTAGACATCTTCCTGAAATAGTTAAAGACATATTACAGAGATACATGCATTCCCATGTTTATAGCAGCACAATTCATAATAGCTAAATTTTGGAAGCAGCTCATATGCCCACCAACAGATGAATGGATAAAGCAAATGGAGTACTACTCTGCCATAAAGGAGAGACTTGAGTCATTTGTAGGAAAATGGCTGCACCTTGAGACTATAATGTTAAGTGAAATAAATCAGATACACAAGCTTAAATATTGCAGTTTCTCTCACATGAGAAGCCCAGAATAAAAATAAAGAGCAAAAGGGCTGGGGATTTAGCTCAGTGGTTTCACTGCCTGCTGTGGAAGCACAAGCACCTGAGTTCGATGCCCAGTACCAAAAAAAAAAAGAAGATAGATAATAGGAAACAGGGAGATAGATGGTTCAAAGTGGTAAAGGGGATCAAGAGATGGAGGGAGGAGGGAACAGAGAGGGAGGAAAGGAAGGGATAAAGAATAAAATAGGAATTGGGATGATGTGTTTATGTATATACCAACTCCACATAAGGAATGTAAACATTATGTACTGCAAACATGTATTAAAAAAAGGGATGTGGGCCGGGGATTTAGCTCAGTGGTTCCACCGCCTGCCTCACAAGTGCAAGAACCCCAGTTCAATCCCTGGTACCAAAAAAAAAAAAAAAAAAAAAAAAAGGGATGAAAAAAGAAATTAAGATGTGTTATGTACTTATACCAACTTCTGACAAGGAATGTAAACATTATGTATTACACACGTGTACCAATAAACTAAAATATAAAAAAAGAAATATGTAAACAAACAAAATAAGAACTGAATTCAGCTGGATGTGGTCTTGCATGGTTGCAATCCCAGCACTCTGGGAGGCTAAGGCAGATGGACTGCAAACTCAAGTAAAGCCACCCTGGGCAACTTAGTGAGACTTTAGTTTCAAAATAAAAAATAAAAAAAGGGTTGGGGATGTAGCTCAGTGCAAAGGCCCTGGTGCAATCCCCAGTGCCGGGGGAGGAGCTGTAGGATGGGGAGGGGAAGGAGAACTGAACTATTTCTAGCACCAACAGAATTTGTTTGATGACTTTGAACATGTCACTTTAATCTCTTGGGCTACTGTTTTTTCATCTGAGCAATGGGAGCTTTTGTACTATGATTTCTAGGTCCTTTCCAATTCTTTTTTTTTTTTTTTTGGTACTGGGGATCGAACTCAGGACCTTGCGCTTGTGAGGCAGGTGGTGGAACCACTGAGCTAAATCCCCAGGCCCTTGTTTTGTTTTTTTAGCCTGGGTCTCACTATGTATTTCAGGCTGGCTTGAACTCACTATGTAGTCCAGGCTGGTCTCAAACTCATGGCAATCCTCCTGCCTCAGCTTCCTAAGTGCTGGGATTACAGGCATGTACCACCATGCTGGGTTTAGGTTCTTACCAATTCTAATTTAAACACTGAACCTCTCAAACCTAACTGAAAGAACATTAACGTAGCAGAAATTTTAAATGACAATATAAAAAATAATTTAGGTACTATCTAGAAGAGCAGTCTTCAGTCTGTAATAGCACAGATGTATATATTCACACCTTAATGGTGTGCTTGCTAAAACAAAAAATAACTTAAGTTTTCCTACTTTCTTTACATATTGTACCTGTTTTAGGATGAACACTAAAAGGGCTCTTCAGTAAATGATTGATTCCTTTGCTAACATTAATATCCAGCCGTGGAAAACAGTATTGCAGCATAATCTCCCACTCCAGCCAGGGTCCACATTTATCGTTTTTGATATTCTAGAAGCAGATGCAAGGCCAGTATGAGGATTAGTAGGATCTTCTGAGTATTTCGTTATTTTTAAATTTTTATTTATTTTATTAAATAAAAGCAGATGATTTATTTGAAGGTGAGGAAAGGGGAAGAAAGAGAGGAAGAGAAAGAGGGAGAAGGGGAGAGGGGGAAGGGGGAAGGCGGTTATTCTGGAGGAGTAGGGAGTATTTCTCTACAGAAAGTTAAAAAATGATCTTCAACCATCTTTAACTGATCAAACAAAACAATCAGAACTCAATTAAGAAGTACACTGTAAACACAGATTTCAGTGGAATATACCTGACTCGTGCTGGTTATTCTTTTCAGATGCTCCCAACGCTGAAGTGAATTATGAGACTTCTGGAAGTATGGTTGAAGTTCTTCATGAATTGGTGATGTGACATTAAGGAACACATTCATTTTTTGTTGTTGTTACTGTTGTTTTTTTGTTTTTTGAGACAGGGTCTTGCTATGCAGTTCAGGTTCACCTTTAACTCACTATGTGGCCCAGGCTGGCCTCAAACTCAGTGATCCTCCTGCCTCAGCCTCCTGAATGCTGGGATAACAGGCATGTGCCAACATGCCCACCTTTATTTCTTATGGCATTCCAGATCTGAGATGCAAAAGTGTAGAAATATGAGATACTTTGTAGCCAGGTGTGGAGGGACACCCCTAAGTAATCCTAGCACTCAGGAGGCTAAGGCAGGAGGATCAGCTGTGAGTTCGAGGCCAGTTTAGGTTACATAGTGAGTTCAAGGGGCCAGGAATTTAGCTCAGTGGTTCTGCCACCTGCCTCGCAAGCGGAAGGACATGAGTTCGATCCCCGGTACCAAA